AATAAAGACTTTCTTCTGTTTCCGACACTCAACTGAGATACATCACAATTATGCTATAGCATGTTTATGATTTCTAAAGAATGCTTCTATCCAATGATACTGTTGGATCTAAAGTTGATAGAATTGTTTTCAAGTTGAAGCACTTGAAACTTTTAATTTGTTGAAAAAAGTTTTGGTTTTTTTCAACATTTTTTTCAAATTTCCACTTTTTTCGTCGATTTTGCACTGAAAATCACAAAATTAAAGGCAAATTTCGGGAAAACTAGAGGACAATTGAAAAAACCTGAGTATGCAGATCTTATTTTCCCATTTGGAATAACATATTTTGAAAATCGGTGACGGAAAATATTTGTGGGTGGATTCGAGTTAAAAAAATTTCTTTTTTAAAGCGTTCTTTTTGCACTTTTGGTTGCCAGTTAAAAATCTCAACTATACTCAAGATGAAATACAGTGAATATAAGTGAAAGACAGAAGAACAAACATGAGAATTTGTGGAATTGGTTTTAATTCAAAATTGGGAGTGTTGATTACCTAAGTGAATGTTATAAAAAGATGTCAATGTTAATTCAGTTTTCTTTGATACTTTTTTCTGAAATCAATAAATAACGAAGAACAATTATCTGTTCGTTGCGTCAATATTTTCAATTGAATTGTTGGTTTTCAACATCTGCTGACACTTGCTTTGCCTGGGGTTATTGAGATGACGCTTCGAACGCATCTGTATATAAAAAAAACTCACGAAAGTCTCGCTTGATATATGGTAATATGACTATGAATGATTAAACGACACGACAAATGGAGAAAAAAGCTCTACATTGAATCACTTAACTATTCCAGGTCATGACAAATCCTCAAATTTAATGTTGATTTTTGTTTAATAACGATTGCTATTGTGGTAATGATCGTAGTGGTGTTGGTGTTACGTCGAAAACAATCGAAGAGAAATGAAGTGCAAACTGTTGCCTACACTCGAAATGATGCGACCAACGAACTTAAATTTGAAGATGATGCAACCAAAACAACCAGCGACGATATTGCCGAACGTATTTACGAAGAAACCCAAGGAAGGCCGATTTTGTATTGTCGACTCAGACACGATACCGATTTAATGTCATAATCACAACACACTCTATGAACCACTATGACACTCCTAAGTTTCTGAAACATGAATAATCGATCTTGATTCACTTACAATAATTTTATCGATGTGTGATTAAAATTGGTTTGATTGTTACCCAACTCGACACAGAAATGCCTGATTTTATCTATGAAAACTATAATAGATTCTGAGAGGCAATAAATTGTATATTTTTTCACACAGAAAACCGTTTATTCATTTCTTTCAGTTGAACAAAATAAACTTAAATGCTCTATGTTTTTACATTTTATGAACATGACAATGTCATATTTGAAAGCTAGCCCATTAGCTTTTCAATTAAGAAGTGCTTCTTCTTTGAAGTTAATTGTTGTTTAAGCTTTTCTTGCTTTTGCTTTCCCGGACGGAACCGGACCGTTATTTTTTATGCGATCGTTAATTTCTTTGACCTTGCTTTTTACGATACTTTTTGGTGGCTCCTTGGCCTTATTTTCTCGGTGATTTTTATTAGCAACATTTGCATGCAGTAATGTTGGTGTTGACAAATCTGGATCCAAGGCTAAAAAATCATACAAAATTCCACTTGTGAGTCGAAATAATAATGTTACCCGATTAGCTATAAACATATTTACCTACGCCTAGCCCTACGCGAGATTCTAGGCCGTTATCATATCCTTGAGTGCTTGGATCGTTAGATGATACTGGTGCAGGAACATCTGCGCTTTCTTTCTCGGAAGATGAATTTTGTTTAACTAAAACCGGTTTGGCATATTTTTTTGGCGGTTCTCGTTTGCTCGCAGGTACAATCTCGTAATCTTTCTTCCCGGGTGGTGCTTCTCCACTCACGTCCACGATTACGAACTGTGGAAATAAAATAAAGTGATACAATCGGAATAGGAACAATGGTTGAGATTGTAATGGTGTTCAACTGATTTTGAAAAAATGCTTCCGATGAACTTTCTTTTTGGATTAGAAGATTTTTTTCTTTCAATGTTTTGAAATGGAAAATTTTCATGAGTAAAATGCTTAGAAAAATGATCTTAAATTGTCTAAAAGAATCAAATGTAAAATAAATTCGATCCAAAATTTACAAGCGAAAAATTTCAAAGCAATATCAAACTCACCATGGATGCCACCAAGCCAATGAGCAGTAGTGTGAAAGATCTTCGACTCAGCATTTTTCCAGCTTCGAACTATCAACAGTTTATTGTAAATGTTTCAATTGAAGAGAATTGACGAACTGTTTGATGGACATACGGATCGAACACGTCTTTTTATATACTTTTCAAGTGTGTTTACGGCAGCAAGCAATACCTCAAAGGTATAATTTAATCCACGCGCAATGACGATTATAAATGCACGGAATATTATAGCTCATATTTTTTAATGAAAAATATTCAGAACAATTAACGTCAATTGGTGGAATTGCAATTCCGCCTGTACACATGCGCATAATTTTACATTTCACATCAAATTTTGCATCGAAAATACCAGATGTTTACCTTTATTCCTTTATCACCTTCGCTATGGTTTGAAGAATAACGCAATTTGATCGCATTGAATTGCAAATTTATGCAAATATTTTTCACTTTTGTAGTGTTGAATGATATTTCTATGGAACGTAGCTATTTGAATTTTAAAACGTTTACATCTTCGCGGCATGCACAAAAAAAAACTCCGTTTCAAAGTCGTTTCAAAGTTAAAAAAAATAGCCACAGATCAACCGTCGCTTACATACGGTAAATATGAATATGAATGATTAAACGACATGACGAATACCTTTGCATTTAGGCCCACATACCATGATATAGCTACAATTTAAGGATATACGGGATCATAATTTACTTTACATCACTCAATAAGATGAACACAATGGCATTTACAAATTGTCAACTCTTGATAGGAATTCTTGTGGACCAACATTTTGAAGAACTTGAATTTTAAATTATTATCGTCATTCAACGTCTAAGAACGTCTTAGAGCTGTTAAAAGCATCTCAGATTTACAGATTATATGTACGTTAGCCTGCTCCAAAAAAAAAA